AGGAACAACCTTAGTGCTGGGCGATTGAGTAGCTTCGGTAGCAGACATTGTTATGAAGTGTATGTGTATATATGGGAAGTGAGTATACTGGATGAACCAATTGTTAGCAAGGTTACTTTGCGCAGAATGCTTTGACTCTATACCCGATAAAACAAGCGAAATTAAACCATCCAAAGAGTGTCCTAGAACCATCAATCGATTGGTAATCCGCAGTTTGAAGATAAATCATGAATATGTGCACACATACTATTAATCAAAATATATAATCGATGATGATGATTTAGTGAAAAATGAGATGGAAAAGGGAAAGAGAAAAGAGAGGAAAAAAAAGAAAGGGAGAGAGAAAGAGGTAAAGTTTTTTTTTTTTCTTTCTTTCTGTGTGGTGAGGAAACCAGCCAATAAATTTATCTCTTTTGGATTCTTGTATTCTCTGGTGCTGCTATGTTATAATTTTCTTGAGTCGAAACGTACATAGTTTAGTCTTAATATGGTTTGAAAAAGTTCACTACTTGCACAATATACTGTTTCTAATTTGCACGAAAAACAATAATGGAGAAAACCCAGTACGTGAATTGGTACTCTATTTCAATACACACACACACACACACACACACACACACATATCTCTGTTATGCATGGCCAGAAAAACAGAAAAAGAATTGGTGGTGGTGACAAAATACAAAAAGGGACTAGACCCAGTGGTTAGGGTACATTATACGACTTGAGACATAGGAACTGGTTTGACGTTTGGATTTCCAATGTCTGACTTTAGACATGATGCATATGAAACCACAAACTCACGCAGTACAAGGATTTCACATCACCAGTGAGTCAACTCTCGTTATTTATTTTCATATGGCATCAATTCAATGAACACGGGTTTTAATTATTGAATTTAAATGCGTAAAAAGATGCCATCTATGGCTCCATCCTGAACGGCGATAAGAATTGCACGCCGTAGCTAAATAAATGCCATCTCCATTTTGAACGGCACAGATTTCTAGGTTCGCAAAACTTTTTACCAATATTGCTCGTTATTGTTGTTCAATTTTGGTGCCAATTAAAGAAGCAATTGAGTATCAACTAAAACCGTTATGTGTATGTTCATAATGATCTTGGGAAAACCTCCTGGAACGACTCCTTAGTTGATCTTGTTGTAGATCGCCACTTAGCTTCAGTGTTGTAGAGATACCCTATACTAATGTCACCAGCCAATGTGTGTGCTTTTTTGTTGCTGTTGTTGTTGTTGTTGTTGTTGTTGTTTTTGAAAACTAAAAAACCCGTCAGCACCTTCTTTTCATTTCTTTTCTCCTCCTCAATCTTGATAAACGTTTCCCCATTATTATAGCTACTTCAAAAAGGCGAAGCCATACAGAAAAATAAAAAAATTATTTAAGAAATCAAATTCCCTGATTTTTTAAAAATTCTTTTTCTCTTTTTGCTATGCGTCTCCCCATTCGAACCGCTTTACTCCTACCTTCGTTGATTCCATCCTCCTCGAAATCTGTTGTGAACGCTGCTAGATCTTCTAATAAATCTCTCAAATTCGACTCTAAATATCACCTCTACTCTACCTATCAATACGGCGCATACTCTAGTAACATGTCCATTCCTACCCCCCCTCAAGCTGCTCCCTCATGGGAGGTGACTGCCGAAGAAATCAAGTCCAAGACTCAGAAATCCATTGATGAGGACAGAAATTTGCTCGACGACGTTGCCGCTCAAGAGAACCCCACTTTCGACTCAACCATCAAAAGAATTGAAGCCCTGAATGCGAAACACAGTGGTATCCAAGATCCTCTTCTTTTCTACCAACACGTGTCTGCCTCTAAGGAATTGCGTGACGCAAGTACTGAAGCCGAGGAGGCCCTCTCGTCCTACTCTATTGAAGCCCGCATGCGTGTCGATGTCTACAACTCTCTCAAGAAGGTTTTTGAGGATCTTCCCAAGGATCTTGATGCTGAGAGTGCGAGAGTTGCTAAGAAAACTGAGTCTGCTTCCCGCAGAGATGGTCTTGCTCTTGATGAAGAGACCAGAAAAAAGGTCACTGAGCTCCGCAAGAAGCTTTCTACTCTGTGCATCCAGTTCTCCAAAAACATGTCTGAGGAAGATGGATTTCTTCTTTTTTCTGCTGAGGAGCTTGCTGGCGTCCCTGATGATATCATTAACCAGTTAACCAAGCACGAAGATGGTAAATACAAGCTTACCTTCAAATACCCCGATGTTTTCCCTGTCCTTAAATACGCCCAGAACCCAGAGACCCGTAAGAAGGTTTACATTGGTTTCGATAACAGAACCATTATCAACGATGATCTGCTTGCTGAGGGTGTTAAGATTAGATCCCAGATTGCTCCCCTGCTTGGATATGAGACCCACTCCCATTTTGTGCTCGAAGACCGCATGGCCAAAAACCCCGAAAATGTTAAAAAGTTCCTGAACGATCTGAGAGACCGTCTCGCCCCCAAGGCTAAGGAAGACCTTTCTGTTCTTCTTAAGCTCAAGGAGGAGGACTACGCTAAGAAGGGTCTCCCCTTTGATGGCCAGTTCTACGCCTGGGATAACCGCTTTTACACCAATATCCTGCTTGAGAGCGAGTACAAGGTTGACGGTCAGAAGATTGCCAATTACTTCCCCATTCAGAATACTGTTGATGGAATCCTTGGACTCTATGAGCAGACTCTTCGTCTCAAGTTCTACAAGGTTCCTGATGCTGAGAAGCAGACCTGGCACGAGGATGTTACTCAGTTCCACGTCTGGGATGCCTCTGAAGCTGGCGAGCCTACTGATTTCCTTGGTTGGTTCTACCTTGATTTGCATCCCCGTCCTGGTAAGTACGGCCATGCTGCCAACTTTAACTTGGCTCCTGGTTACACTGATGTCGAGACTGGCAAGCGTGTCTACCCCGTCACTGCCCTTGTCTGCAACTTCTCCAAGCCCACTGCTACTAAGCCCTCTTTGTTGAAGCACGATGAGGTTGTCACTCTCTTCCACGAGATGGGTCACGGTATTCACAACCTTGTTAGTAAGACCAAGTACGCTAGATTCCATGGCACCAGCGTTGAGTGGGACTTTGTTGAGGCCCCCTCGCAGATGCTTGAGTTCTGGCCTTGGAACAAGGATCAGCTCAAGGCTCTCTCTTCCCACTACGAGACCAAGGAGCCTCTCAGCGACGATTTGATTGACTCTCTCATCAAGTCTAAGCATGTCAATGATGGTATGGCCTACATGAGACAAAATTTCCTTGCTACTTTTGATCTCACTCTTCACAGCACCAAGTCTGGCGATATCAACATTCTTGAGCACTACAATGATCTCAGAAGCGCTTACTGCTACGACTCCACTGGTGACTTCAAGTCCCATGGCTTTTCGTCTTTTGGCCATTTGATGGGTGGTTATGACTCTAGTTACTATGGCTACCTCTGGTCTGAGGTTTTTGCTACTGACATGTACTACTCCAAGTTCAAGGCTGATCCCCTCAACTCTAAGGTCGGTTACCAGTACAAGACCCAGGTCATTGGCCCCGGTGGCTCTCGTGATGCTAACGATTCTCTCAAGGAGTTCCTTGGCAGAGAGCCTAACAACTCTGCTTTCCTCGAGGAGCTGGGTGTTTCTGAAGCCAAGTTGTAAATCTAAAATGATTGATGACGCGTATTAGAAATATGTATATTTAAATAACCAACTCTGAAATGAAACTGTGTATGATTTTAACAAAAAGAAAAAAAAAAGTACTCCCCATGTGATAGTGTGGAAACTCGCAAACAGCAGTAAGCTAGCAAAGGGTGACCTTGAAAAGCTATTTGCTAGAGTTAAGCAAATGGA